GCAAGTGCTATTCGATATGTCCCCTCTCTTCATGCTAACTACAAGTTTCACTACCATGTTTAAGAGACCTGAAATTTATTTATTTTTCATTTTATTTCTAAGAATCTCTTTTACCCTGGTAAATGTTTTCACGAGTGTTTCTTCTCCCTACAAATCAGTCTTTCAACCATCTTTTCGGGTACTAATCCAGCAGTAACTGAGATTGCTATCCAGTAAACAATTGGCAGCCTCAATTTACTGGATGTATTGATAGTGTTTAATGAAGTGAGGGAATCTAACATATTGCTTCAATAGAATTGTATGCTTTATTACCTTCAAAGTAATGCCATTAGATTCAAGGGAGAATTAGCCATCACCTCAGAAAGGACAATATCCAGTGATTATGATTTAATTGTCACCTAGTTTGCATTTAGAATGAAGCATAATCTAGTTTCACGCCTCCTTAGGATTTAACCTTCTTAGAAGTTCAGGCTGGTGGCTGGCTTTGCCAATAGACCTGAAAGAAGGTTCATGCTTTGGATTGTTGTAGTTTCCACAGTCTAGTGCTGTAGAAGTTGAATACAAGTGTTTATGTGGAAATTGTCTGCTTTCTTTTTGACTTGTTCAGATGAGCCTGGTAGCACAGAACATGGACATAGTATGCTCCTAAAATAAATAAAACACTTGCATATTCAATGATAAAACTATTTCTCCATAATACAGTTCCAGACATTAACTGTCAAAGAATTGATTCATTTATTCTAATTTTACTATATTCATTTTAGATTAAGGGGAGACACGCTCTTACGTCTCAGTTTTCCTTTCTTTAAGAAAGCAAACCATTTTAATAGGAAGTAACCCCTGGGAGCTCTGACATCTGGAAGGGCTCACCTGCTCTTTATCTGACATCTGGGGTGGGAAGGTGATTTTGTGTTCCGAAACCAGAATTTTAGCATGGTGGTTTTAAACACTGTGACAAACACCTGAAAAGCTGTGGTGCCCATTACATGGTTCAACTGTTGCACCTCCATTCTTGCTCCCCAGACACCTGTGCAGGAAGGGTGTACCAGGATGAGGTTCAGGGCCCGTCAGTGCACTCCATGTCTTTTTAGCATGTATATCTTGATCTGTCTTCAATCTCTACCCATCCTTCCAGCTCAGATTAATGAGTAATCTGTAGGTGGAGATGGGCATAGGGGACTGGTATTTTGCAGGTGCCCTAGCCTGGCCAGAATAAGGGTGCAGTCTAAGGCTTCGGACCTAAAGCAATCATCAGAACCTGTGTTTTTGAGTCAGGGGAGTGGAAGTGCAGAGAGCCTGCATCTTGTTCATTATCTTTCTAACTGCTGGCAGCATTGTCAGTCTCAACCATTCAAAATTCATGTCAGACTCTAAAATACAAGATTGGTTTAAAAATTATGAATATTGTAAGAATGTTTTATTTTTTAAATTAGCTTTAGATTTTCAGAGCCTTTAAGGGGAAGCTGCCTACCTTCAAATTGTACATGAGCATTTAAGATTCAAATTCAACCAGAAGAACATACACAAGAATGTGGGTCTTTTTGGTCACTGCTCCATGGGGGAATACACTAACCTTCTCCTATCCCAAGAGGTGGGGCAGCCGTCATTCTACCTCTTTCCTCCTCCCTTGTCATGGTTGTGTCTCTCTCCCTTTCCCACCTACTCTTCTGCTACACTTAATTCTTCTTCTGTGTTCCCCGCCAGTGTCTTGTCCCTAGTCCATCCTCTACAGTCACCTGCCATGTTTTTCCCTGCTTTTCCGCTATACTACTCCTCACATTCCTCTTTGCCCCCCGTCTTCCCTTCTGTGGCTTTATTGCGGGGTAGAGAGTGAGGCTATTTTCTGTCCTGACAACTGACCCAGCTTGGACCCAACCCTTCTCAAGTTCAGGTAAAATTGCAGAGGATTGCTTCTAAAATGTGACCCAACTGAAGTGGTTTTCAGAAACAAACTTTTTGGGCCAGACTGTGAGATTTGAGGTCAAGTAACCTGGGCTGTAACAGTAGAGGTGGCAGAGGGAAATTCCATGTATCTGCAATCTAATTTCTTCAAATTGGTACAGGTCTCCAGCCCCTCTGAGTGGGTGTTCCTAGGGGGTGGGAGCAGTACATGCTGCGCCCTTCACACCAGAAGTGACATGCAAAGGGGTTGGAACAGAAAAGAGAATCTGGCCTCATGCATTTATGTCCTACTCTACCCACTACCCAGCAGCAGCTCCTGGGCACAACCACCCTTACAGTTATGGAACAGGAGCCAGGAGCAGTAGGTGACCATGGGGGGACAGCTACCAGCCAAAACCCCGTGACTTTTAACATTTATCTTGCAATGTGTATGTGCTATGTACCTGTTTGTTGGTTTTTCACAGCACTTTTCTCTCGCTGGTCAGATCTGACCCATAAACAACATGCATTTCTTTGATTAAAATCAACTGGTAGAAATGACACATCGGTAATAAAAAGACATACAAAGACATGAGGTCTTCACTTTGTTTGTCTCCAGGCTTGACTCTCTAGGATCAAATAGGCTTATAGAAATTAAGCTGTTTTATCTGCTGTATTTTGGATTATCAACAATGGCTAGATAAGGGAGAACAAATTGAGAATTCAAAAATGATTGTTAGTGGTGATATATAAAGCAGATGGAAAACAGATTTAGCTAAGCTGATTCTGTAAAATGGAGTGTAGCAAAAGAAACTGAGTGAAAACAGCCTTTCACAGCTACACGCATTTCGTATTGGAGTCCATTTTTATCAGCATTTATCTTCTACAGGGACAGTTAAGGGAAGAGAAGCAAAAACCTTGCAAATATCACTCAGCTAGCTCATAAACTGATAAAACAATCACATTCAAAGCAGGAATAGACAGATGATGACAGATTTTTTTTATAGATAAACGTATATAGTATTAACATATGTAAATTACTTAACTGTTCCAGTGGGTTACAGTTAGGATAGTCTTAAATGTTTCTCACTGTAACCCCAAACCATGTAAAACGTCTGTACGTTTGGCTTTGTGAGGGTTTGGAACCTTTCATTTGGTGAAATGAGCAAGCACTGGGGTGATGCATGGATTTGTGTTGACACCAGGTGAGAGCAAGTGGCTTTGTCTGAATTTTGGCATGAGTATATTTGAATATGAAAAGCAGAGTTGAAAATAGAGGAGGCTCAAAGCTGAATAAAATGTTTGCATGAGGCCTGAATTGAAGTCTCTCATTTTCACTCTGCTCTGGTCCCAACTTCATTCTGGCTTTTCAGGCACCAGTGAGAAGTACTATTTCAACATTGTTGGTGAAGCATGTAGGCAGTAGAGCATGTGATGTCTGCAGCATTTCAGCTATATAGGAAAGTTGAGCAACAATGTATGATTTATTAAAAGAATAAGTGTCTTTTTCCTGAGTCACTGCTGATACATAGGTCTTTGCACAGTTAGGAAAGTCACTAACAGATGGATAAGGTGGGCTTTTCAGTACATAAAAATGATGTGAATTTTGGCACGAGTTTTGTTCTCAAAATTTGTTATGCAAATGATAGCTCTTCCGTCACTTCTTTTTAATTGTGTGTTGAATGTAGATGACAATATGTATACTGCTTCTTTGTCCTTAGTACACTTTATGAAGACCACGTTCTTCCTATAAAGCAAGAAAATGTCATACTTTTCCTGTATAAATTAAGATTCCTGTGATCCCTGAAATGCTGCAGCATTTTAGAGCCAATCTCGGTGTCATGATGAATCACAGCTATATACAACTCTAGATACTTCCCTGTACCCCTTCCAAGAGTCTTGGATTGTCCCTCTTATCTCATATTTATTAAAGGGTAAAAAATTGTAGGGCCAGTTAAAAAGTAGTAAATCATGCAGCAGACAGTAGCATTGTGATGTTTAAGCTATCTCAGTATCAAGGTATAGATTGGGGTGGCCAAATTGTAGCTCACAAGCCACATACAGCTCTTTCACAGTTAGCATGGCTCATGGAGCCCCCCTCTGCCCAGGCCCCCTTCATTCTTCACCTACCAGACTTGGGCAGGGGAAAGCTTGGGACTTCCACCTTGCAGCAGGGTGGTGGGGTAGGGGATTTTGCTCAGCAGATGCCTCCTGCAGGGCAGAAGGCCCAAATTGCGGCAGGCGTGCCCCAGCTCTTGCGCTTCTGAAGATTGTTGTGTGCAGCGTGGAGGGTCAGTAAGTTTGGCTACCCCTGGAATAGATGGCAGTATCAAAAGTACCACTACTCACTAAATGTTGGCTTTTTAGTAATGACTGCCTGGGGAAACACATCTAGCCAAATTCTGACCTGGTCTACACACATGAAACATACTGAGAATAAATCAAAATACTGCAGAAATGAGTGGATAGGAGAAAGGGTGGGAATAGTGCTATGGGCTCCTTGAAGTTTTAAGCATCCAAAAGATTGTGTTTTTCTATTAAAGCCAAAAATGACTTCTAAAATGCATATCACATCTGGGTCTAAAATCCTAACAGAGGATGCTGGATTCTCTTTTCAAATGGCTGGTCTTAGCATTTCTCTTTAGTGGCAGTGTTTTGTTTCACGGGAAATGGAATTCAGGATGAGAATTGTTTTCTTGAGCTGAAAGTCTTACAGATAACATTTCAATGAATGTCTGCACACTTTCATTTACTGTCCATGTATATTAGGTAAATTAAGCTGATTGCATTGCTTTGATAGAGTGGCATGTACCATTTTTAACAGATGATACAAGTAAGTTGAAGTTGTTCTGATTCTTGGGTTCAGTAATAAAGCAAACAGAGAAGGAGTGTTCCTAACTTTAAATAAACCCCATTGCTATAAAGGGACAGAAATAATAGTTTTGTTCCCCACCATCAAATCATACCTGGTCAGGAAATCAGCAATTAAAGTCTCATTTGTTTTAATCTTAAAAAGGAAAAATAGTCTGTTTTATACACATGCCCAGCAACTGATATGTCCTCACAGTGCAGAAACCTCCAGTAACTGAATTAAATTTCATTGCAGTCAGCACCAAAAAAAAGTTTGATTTATGTCTTTATGTACATTTAATACAGAATATGTCCAGTAACTGAGAACTGTAAGGTCACATTTAGTGAAAGAGTAACAGTTCCTGTCTTTAAAAAAAAAAAAAGAGTAAAAAGGCTAACGTATGTTAAGTATTCTTTACAAGTTACAATGTACACACCAATCACTGCCTGTTATTCAATGCTGCTAATGGGGACACTGAAAGAGGCTTACTGTACATGTGTTAAATCTTGATTTAATAAACAGTTTGTATTAGTATCAAATTACATCAAAAGAGTCTAAAAAACCCATGATAATTATTTTACAAATTGTCTTGTGCAGTAAAAAAAAAGTCTAACCTGCAATTTAAAAAAAAGTATGAAATGTGCATTTTTGCAGCATGGACACAAGTGCTAGAAAAAAGTGCTAAAAAGCTCATTCAGTTACTTTGATTTCTCTTTGTCCCCAACAATTTCATACACCTTAGTTATCACATAGATCTCAAAGTGTAACACATAGCAGGCTTCATCCTGTGCTTTCTGTGCAATTCAGACACCCATTGAGTGTATCCAGCATGGATTTCAATAGGGAGGGTGCGCTGCATAAGGAATATAGTACTAGGATCACTACAGGAGACAGAAATATATAAGTCAGTCAGTCAGTCAGTGGAGTTTCTTTATGCAAGTAACAGGAAAAAACAGAGAGCCTTAGTTATACACCTGTGAAATCAATGGAGTTGCATGGCTTTAACACATGGCAGAAATCAGCCCACCCTATGCTTTTGAAAATCTACCATCTTCCTGAAAGAAGCTTCTGTGTAAAGTCTGTATCTACCACGACGTACTTGAGAATTGGGTTAAATTTTAATCCACAACCTGCAAAGGCCATATATTCCCAAAGATACTAAAATGAATACTGTATAGCCAAGATAAAATACTGTTAAAAGGCAATAGACCATTTCACATATTTCTCACGGAACACAGAGACAAAGGAAGCAATATAAAAACTAGTCAAGATGCAACATAACTCGTCTTAATTAGCATTTCCCAAAGTAACTCTAGCTGCAATTTGATAAATATGCTCACAGACAGCTGTGTCAAAATATGTGGTGCCTTTTACCACTTTTACTTAAACTAGTTGGTCTGAAAACTAATTATTTAACAAAGGAAGAGAGAAATAATATGAAAGGGAGGGCAGAAAAATAATCTAGTCATTTTCACATTTAGTTAAAAATATTCTTGATAGTTCCCATGCAAATCCTTCTGTTCTGTTGCTCAAGCAAAGTGGCAGCTTGTGGGGGATGGGTGCAAAGTCCACCACTGCAACAATTATTGGTTATGAAGATCTTTCCTTTTAAAAAAAATTGGATACAGTAAGCTAAAAAGTGTGTGTACCTATACACACTACATATGGTGTATTTTTATACAGACACAGTGTGTGTCAGATAAACACACACCCACACGTACCAATTTTACCTTTAACAGGAGATTAAAAGTCAATAGATAATGAGCCTTGTGCAGCATCCTCTCGTCCTCTCACATAAATTTCACAAGGAATCTCCTCCATCACCCTGTCTTCTATTACCTGCTCAGGGCAGTCATGGGCCTGTTTAAATGTGTAACTACTTTTCTTGAAGGTGCTATTAAATGTTTTCATTGGCTGAGGTTGCGCAAAATCATTGCGGAAAGGAAGTTCCATGGAACTGAGATTGGTCCTGCTTTGTTTTATACTGGAAGCTTGAGAGCCACAGTGATGGTCATGAATACATCTCGAAGCAATAGAGGAGCGTCTCATTTTCTGATAGTTCTCAAGTTCTTCTGATAAGTCAGCCAAGTCTGTAGAAATCTCTTTATCCCTTAATGAGAACAGTTCATAATGTGGAGGATCAAATACTTCTTGGAAGCCAGCTTTATTAAAAGCAGTTTTGCAGGCCATAACCTTTTTGCGAGGCTGCTTTACTTGCACCAGAATTGAAATTATGAGAAGAACCAAAACTATCCCTGAAGTAATTCCAATGATGGTTCCATGAGTTTTGGTGATTTGTTCAAACAGTCCAGTTTTTTTCTTCTCTGCAAAAAAGAGAGAGGGTTAGCTTTTGAGTCTATCTAAAATGTCTGATCAGAAATAATTCAGTAAAATTTCAGGTTTGATTTCGTATGCAAAGATTTAAGATAATGAAAAGTGTAAATGATAGAGCGGGTCATACGCTGATGTCACTCATATGGGTGCAAATGTCTATTAACTATTGGCTCCATTAATGGGCACTGCATCCCTGTGAGGGAGAGCAGAATTTGGCCCTGTATGCTTTAAGTATTAGTCCTTACTCAGACAAAAATCACTGGTTACTCTGGAGTTTTGTTTCATAAGGGATAAGCAAGAACCGCAGGACTGAGCCCACTCAACAGCATGTAATTTCAGGCAAGTTTTCGATGCATAGGACCATGCTCTGCTCTCATAGAAGTGTGTGCTATTTTCCCGGAGGTTCGTACAAACATTCATGAGCAGAATATGGCCCATAGTTTTGGGGGAAAGAAGTTACATTAGAACAACCTTAGAAATGTAATGGACTTATAGATTTGTGGGATTTGCCATATTGAATCAGTGCAATGGTTCAGCAAATCCAATACCCCTGCCTTCAGCAGTGACAAACACCTGATACTTCAAAGGCTGCTGGGATCCTCCCCTAATCCAACAACATACCTATTTAATTGGGATGTGGGTTCCTTCCTGACCCCTGTGGTAATTAGTTTACATTCTGAAATCTAAAATTTGATTAAACAGCATATCATTACTTTAGCTTGTATAATGCTAAATGCTCATACACGAAGGGCCCAATCCTGCATCCATTGGTGCTCATGGCAAAACTCCTATTGATTTGAATGGAGGAAAAACCAGACCCCAAAATTATCTAGTCCTTTAAAAAACAATATAAAAAAATCCAACCATACTATTTATCTTGCCTTCACTGGATGGCTTCATAACTGGACTAAATTGTACCTACGTATTGCATTGCAAGTTATTTAACATTCCACATCATAAGATCAGTTTAAAAAATAATTTCTTGATAGCACTTCCTATGGAAGTACACAAGATGGCAGTATCTGATTACAGCAAGTTTCCCACACGTAAGAGACAAATTTTTAGCAGTATTTTGCTCTGGAAAAAGTATTTGTCCTGAATGACTAAAAGAAATTTGTATGAATACAACAGACTGTTCATTAGAAAACAGTAAAAATATTTACTGCTTTCTGGGTTTGGGTTTTGTTTTTTTTCCTGTGATGCTAGGTATTAAGAATTCTGTTCATGTATAAAGCTAAAATATAATGGGGAATGTAGTTGAGCACACAGTAGTTAAAAATGCTGGGCAAGATGGTATTGCTTTGTTGCTATATATTTAATAAATAAATCTCTCATATTGCAGTAGGTTTGTGAAGCATTCTAGGAAAGGTGTATATTTCAGAAAAGCACCCATAGTTCAGGAAAACATCTCAGAAAACCATTTCTGATTGGAAATGTGTATTATACTTGCACAGGCAGAGCTTCAGGTGCAGCAAACTTGATTTTTATTATAGAAACTTGGGAGCCACTGATCAGTTTTGTTAACTGTAATAAATAAAACAAAGATGCTGTGACATGATACATTTTAGCTTAGTAACTACATTTATATTTTCACACTGTAACATAAAGGGGCCTCCTTCAAAAAACAAGGATTTTTCCCGCAAAAGCATCAAGGTTTAGGAATAGATGGTAGCGGTACAAATCAGGCAAATACAGAAGCATATACTTAGTAGGCCCAATGTTCTGTGTAAAGTTTAAAATATACTTTGTGAAGGGCATGTGATGTTTCATTTATAGGGCAGGTACATTCTTCAACCCTGCTCACAGGCGTCTTGGTTTTAAATTAAAAATTTGGAACATCTCCCTGAGTTAAGTAGAATAGCTGTCTTCAGCACATTTGCAGGAAAAGATGTTTTATGACTTTCTTAAATGAAAGGCTAACTGACAATCCTGGATCACCAAGGTTATGCTTTGCACTATATTCACCTTTGCAATGATTTTCATCCCAAGGGTATGCACAGTTTTGAATGCCATTGCAGACCAAAGAATTATTGATGCACATGTTGCTATGGCAAAAGTAACTGCTGCCTGAGCATGGAGCTGCAGGAGAGAAGGAAAAACAAGTTATGAGTTGCCAAGAGCTCACAGAGTGCACAAAGTCTGTGAAGAAACTTTATATTTCTCAATATGCATATTCCTTCTTTCACTGACTGATCTAAGATTTCACATTAAATGAGTTTTCCTGCATATCCCTTATTAAGTAGTTTAGTATACGCCCATTTGGGGTTGCTTCTGGATGCACAACTGACACTATGAACAAAATAGTACTGATCCAAGTGGTTAGCAATAAGAGTCATACACTGGTTGGCCACCCAATGCATGTGATGGAAAAAGCTTCTATAGTCTTAAATGCCTGTCTTATAGCATTATATTGCATTCTGAATTACTTGTTGATTATTGAGATTGCAGTGGTGCCCAAAATGGTCATATGCTTTCCAAACTCACAGGAAGTCAGTTTCTTCCTGAAGAGTATACTTCCTATCTATACAGAATACCATAAGTGCATCATGCTTTACAGATGAATGAGATATGACAAATTCCTGCTCTGAAACATTAAAAATCGAAGGGAGACGCGGTGTAGATCTGAGGCAGCTAAGGTTCCTACCCTTCTTCCAGCACTTCCAGAACCTAGGCTGTTAAGTGAAGGTCAGATTCCATTTCCTGCAGACTGGGAGGTAACAAGTTCCCCAGTTAAGGTCCCTTTCCTAAGAACTCTCTTCTTTCTCCTCCTCAGGAATTCAAATCTTGGCATTTTCAAAGAGAACATCTCTGCTGATATCAGCCATTGAGACAGTCCATATGAAGAGAGATGTAGCTTGGCTTCAAGCCCTATAGAGCTTTGTAGATTAAAGGGGAGATACCATGAATAGAATCCAAAAGCAACTGGGAGGCTAGTATAAAAAATACATTATATAGCTAAAGTGGCAATCCATTGGTAACAATAATAAATAGTAGCATTCAGCAGTTCTATACTGCCTGCCCTCTGATGATCTCCAAATGCTTTATAAATGTTTAGAAATGCCTGTCAGGTAGGCAGCAGTAGTGTAAACACTCTAACAAACCTGCCACCTGTGGCTTAATGGTTATTGCTATACTGTATACAGTGGTCATTTGGACCTTCATGGTGAAAGAGGTAAACTCCTGCTCATGAACAGGCCTTTTTTATTAGAAGATAATAGAGGGTTTAAGGAAGAGCAGCCTTTAGCTGGCAGCTGTTTATAAGAAATTTGAAGAAATAAAATAACTATACGTTCTCTCTAAAGAGGATTTTAAATTTCTATCATATTACACGCCCTTGACATTAGAACAGTGTCAAAGCATCCATTTTTGTTAAATAAATATAATTTTCGCATTCTTTCTGCTTTTGATATTCTACCCATTATACAGTTTTCTGTTCCATTTTTCTACATCAGTGTAGTATTTATACACTAGAGATTTCTGTAAGTCAGTTACATATCAGCATTGATTTTAATGTAAGGACAGTGGTGTCCAGGAGAAGGGAGTGGCTTGTCTTGCTCACATGCCAGTTTATTACATATTTCCCAGATGATAACTCATGCTTGAGCATCTGGGGTTCACAAATGCTGTGGTGAACCCAAGAGGTAAGTGATGGAGAGGATGGCAAGTGGGAAAGGGATAGAGTTCTGCCATGTGTTCCCATCAGTTAAACCCCTGGACCCTAATTACTTCAGCTGGAGTTTTGCCTGAGGAATTAATGGAGGTTTTAAGCCTATATTTCTTAACCCTCTAAATTTGCCTTCCTTAAAACTGTCTTTGTACTACCACTTCACATGACCCCATTTCTTACTGTGCTGAATTCCACAGGCTCATGCGCACTGCTTCTGAGCTTTATTTTCATGTTATCAATCAGTTCCTCTATATTGGAAAGAAATAGATCCATAGAGGATCATCTGTTTGTAGTCTCAACTCTTTGGATCATAAAGCTTTCGTCATACATAATTTAAGAACTTTAGAAAATGCATGTTACCCAATTTTTATGTTAATAGTAATGATATTTAAAAATACTGAAATTACTGTTTCACACACCTTCCTTGACTGGGTGTTGCAAAAATTTAAATATCTGGAAAGTACTTTGAGATCCTTTTGAAGAACAGTGCTTTATAGTATTAATAATTCATGGAAAGTTGTGGAGAAGAGTCACTGTATAAATTAACAATGAGAGGCTTAAGGCACTAGAGGCGGAAGGGAATATTTGAGGTATTGCCTTTTCAAAGCTACTTCCACTTATCCATTTAATTTATTTTTGCTATTTAGTTTGAGTGTATAGTGATTTTGAGCCAAATATGCAAAAGAGCTGAGCACCCAAGTGTTAAGCATCCAAATAAGTGGCCACATTTTCAAGAAAGTTCTGTTCCCATTTAAGTGCATAAATAAGGGTCAGTTTGTTCTCAATGGGAGATGCTGGATGCTGAGCTCTTTTGAAAATCTGGCCATTCATTTATTTTAAGTGCCAATAGTGAAGAATAAGATCAAGGTTTTTGCCTGCTCAAACTCTGGCTGCTTCTTTAACTACAGAACCTAAGTTATGAACACCAGAGTTACGAACTGACCGTCAACCACACACCTCATTTGGAACCGGAAGTATTCAATCAGGCAGCAGCAGAGACCTCCCCACTCCCCCATCAAAAAGCAAATACAGTACAGTATTTGCTTAAAACATAAAGGGAAAGTTTTTAAAAAAAGATTTGACAAGGTAAGGAAACTGTTTCCATGCTTGTTTCATTTAAATTAAGATGGTTAAAAGCAGCATTTTTCTTCTGCAAAGTTACGTGTCAAAGCTGTTAAGTCAATTTTCAGCTGTCTTCAGTAAATGTAAACTTTTGAAAGAACAACCTCCATTCCCGAGGTGTTCGTAACTAGTATTTAACTAGTTACTGTTTTATTGGAAAGAGAACCTGTTCTCATGCTGGTGCCCAAGCCACATCCTTACATGCCCCTTCATCCTGAATAAGGAGGATAAAACTCATGCAGCTATAGCCTTTATGAATATGACACTGGATCAGCTACTGTTCTGGTTGGAAACATGGAGGTTAGACTGGATAGAACCAAGCACTGAATAGCACAAACAGAGAAGGACCTTAAGTGATTCAGACTGAGAAATGGGTGCATATCCAGCATTTCACATAGCATATATAAAGAGAAAAAATCTGCCCATTAGAGTGGAAATGTTGGAGATCCAGATCAAAGCTACACTATTAAGCTTCTTGGACTGAGAGCACATGTGGATGGAAGAACTGACTAGATTTTTTTTTTTTTTTTTTATATTTAGAAGAGAGATAAAATCGATCACCTACTCCTGCAAGCTGTAATTTCTGGAACACCAAAGAAACATTAGTTGTTGGATAGAACTGAGTGCTTTCTGAGGGAAGAATAACTATGTGCTGGAAATGGCCCACCTTGATCATCATACACATTGTAAAGAAAGTGATCACTTTACATAAGCTATTACCAGCAGGAGAGTGGGGTGGGGGGGGGGGGGGGAGAAAACCTTTTGTAGTGATAAACACCCATTTTTTCATGGTTTGTGTGTATAAAAACCATCATCTGTATTTTCCACAGTATGCATCCGATGAAGTGAGCTGTAGCTCACGAAAGCTTATACTCAAATAAATTGGTCAGTCTCTAAGGTGCCACAAGTACTCCTTTTCTTTTTGTGAATACAGACTAACAGGGCTGTTACTCTGAAACCTATGGGACATAGCATCAGACCAGAAATTTGATGAAAGCTGAATTTTTTTTTTCAGTAATACTTTCTCTCAGCCATGTCATTTTGAGGTTGACTATAAGGTGTGAAATTTGACTTTGTTTGAAATATACCTGGATGATTTATTTTAAACAAACATTCTTTCCTTTTTCTGTCCCTAGATTTTTTTTAAAGCATTTTGGTTTTGAAATATGCACATTACCAAGAACTGAGAGAATGTCTTGGAAGAATAAAGAGCTTAGTTTCTTTTGCCAAGGAAGATCAGTTGAGTACCATGCAGTTTACTGCAAATGGAGAAGGGGAAAGTCTTTTGAATGAGAATTTAAAAACAGGTTGTGTGGACATTGAAGACCTTGACATTTTCCTCAACAGTAGAGATCTGCCCTAATGTACTTGGCCACAATTTCAGGAGACTCCGCTAATGATATTGGGCAACCAAGAGCCTGCTTACCCCTGTAAATGAAATTGATTTTTCATGACATGTTCAGTTTTCAAGCAATTATGAATGAACTAGGAGCCCTAGGTCTAGTTCACTGGTTCTCAAACTTCTGTATTGGTGACCCCTTTCACACAACAAGCTTCTGTGTGCAACATATGCCCTCCCCAATTAAACACACGTATTTAAATATTTAGCACTATTATAAATGCTGGAGGTGAAGCAGGGCTTGGGGTGGAGTCCAACTGCCCTGCTTCAGTGACCCCCCCACATAATAACCTCATGACCCTCTGAGGGGTCATGACTCTGTTTGAGAGCACATGGTCTAGCCATCATCATCATCATACCAGGCTCTTACATAGCATTTTTTATCTGAAGATCTTAAAGTGCTTTACAAAGGTGGTCACTATCATTATCTCCATGTACAGTCAGTGTTAATACTTGGTACACTGATTCTTGTGTCAGAATGTTGTATATGGTAGATGAACACTGAATAGCATTTAGCTATGTTCGTTACCTATCTTCAGATAGTTTAACGGTGCTTTTCTAAAAGAGGATGATGTCTCTCTGGATAGTTGCTTGTTTGCTGAATATGCTAATGAAAATGTCTTCTGTTCCTTTCACGAACTTAGGCCCAGATTGTGCTATTTAATGACAGGGGTGGTATATAGTCATCCCACCTCTCAGAGAACTAAAATAATTATGCCCCAGAATGCACAGTCTCTCCCTTTGCTACCAGATGTTCTGGGGAGTTTTTCTGCACCCAGTCAGCTTCATGGACTGGTATGGAGAAAGTGCAAGACTGACTTCTCTCTGTTGCCTCTTTCATTCCAAAAGGAGGTGGTTTGTAGTAGCACATCTGCCTGGACGGAACACACAGGCTGCACTCTACCCTCCCCATCACTTATATTGGAAAGTTGTCAAGAAGGGCAAAGGAATTAGAAGGCTCTTTGCAACCTCTCTTTGCTGCAAAAGGGGCAAGGACCAACTGGCCCCATCAATATATTCTCTTCTAATAGTACTAGCAGTACCATGTATAATACTTGGCTATCTATTCAGGTTGCCTAACATTTCCTATTATAGGACTCTGTTTTCAGTAGCAAGTAACTGCAAAACCCAACTATCTGAGCTGAAAATTTTCCATGGTGGGTGTCTGCCTCAAGCTGAATTTTTTGAAATGTCAGCCACAATGGTTCAGTTGTTTCCAAGAAGATGACAAAGTAAAAAAAATATAATTTGTCTGTTAAATTCAGAAGGATTTCTTCCCCTTTGAAATGAAGTTTTTTGGTGGTGGCCTTGTGTCAGGGATGTGACTTCTGCCATCCCTGTGAAAATCTGCCCAACTGCTAAGTCTCTGAAAACCAAAAAAAACCAAACCCAGTTTGTACATGCTCAGTAGAGACTTAGATTACTAAACTGTTCTGTCCCTACTGCGTATGCTCCCAGCTCCTAGTGGCTGACTGGACTGCATATGCACCATCCCCACAAGAGTGACTGAGGATGCTTCAGTCTAAGGCTACAGGGGTAAAGCTGGACTTTCCTGGTAATTGCTGCTCCAGGCTTGGAAGTAGCCAGGCACTGGAACTGAGGGCAGAGAGCCATAAGAATACTCCTACACAAAACTACACTGAAGAATGTTATTCAGGTTGCAAAAGCAAGCACTCAAAAGTTAGGGAACGCCAGATTTAAGGTTTCTGGTACACAAGTGTCTTTTATTACATGATCTTTTTTCCACAAGACCCCAGCTCTGGGGTGGAATCAGGGTTGTGTTGTAAAAGCAGCTTTTTTTCTCTATAGGACCCTCTCTCATTTGTTGATTAAGTTGGAAAGTACGTACCGAATGAGAGGAAAAGAACAGGAAAAGAAAGGTGGATCTCATAGTTAAGAGAATGCCACTCTGGTGGACTGGATTTGATCCCTGTCTCTGTCACACAAAGTTCCTATGTGATGCTGGACATGTCATGTAAGCCAGAATTGTTCACAGGCAGGTCACTAATTAAGAATTCCTCATTTTCTGGATGCCCCCACTTGAGACTTTGGGGCCTGATTTACAGAAGTGGCGCTTGTTCACAACTGCAACTGAAGTCAATAGGAGCTGAGCCTGAATACAAAGTGCTTAGTACAGTACTCTGGTCCTAAGCATTTCACAGTCAGCACCCAGACCTAGTGGATAATTTTGACCTTTAATCTCCACGAGAAAACAGACTACAATACTAAGGTTTAGGGCCACACACTGAAAACTGAGAACACAATATTGAGATATGATCATTCAGTGCACTGAATAAGTGGAAAAAATAGTATGTAATCACTTCATTAAGATCATAACACATATGCACAGCAAGGCTAAATTAAGGTTTCACAGGCAACCTTAATTCTGGCATTTCCTTATTTTTGAGTGCTTGACTTTGCAAACTTAAGGTTCTTTTAATATAGGTAGTTGTGTTCATAAACTGTATCAAGGGAAAAACCAAAACACATTCTATTTTATCTCATCCCCTTTAGCTGAGTTATGCTGTTTCAGTCACGTCTGCAATGGGTAGTTGTGAACTGAATATGTCATGCAGAATTAGTTCATTTATGTAAACCTCTTCAGAAATATTGATTTTTTTCATGGATGAATTCATATAATTACAAATCAGTAGCTAGGTAGAAGAGAAAGTGCTCAATGATCTGAAAAAAGAATAAGCACATAATTTCACTATTCTGAGCACTGAAGTTTGCTTCTAACAAGGATATTTTAAAAATGATTTTTTTAAGATGCATGAAATGCCCTGTTTTATTGGCCTTATTTTTTTAAAATCAACTCATTATCTCTCTCCTTTTCCTGAGATATCAAACCTCAAGCTGCGAGATAGGCAAGAACAACTGTACATATCTTTTCAGACTTGCTTTTGGCAAAGATTTTTTGATTAGCGATCGGCTTTTTCAAAGAGAGGAGTCTGTCTTTATACCTGTTCATCACTTCATTGGAGAAGCAAGAATGGAAAAAAAAAATCAATATTTATAATATGAACTGATAGTTTGACCTGTAGAAACTAATCTTATAATGTCAAAGCTAGAGCATAGCCTCACCAGAACTACCATTATTATTATTAATCATTGTAGCTGAGGAAGAAGTGAACTGAAGAAAGCAAAACAGCTTTTGTAATTTTGGTTAGCAACCAGTACCTAAAAGTGGTAGTTACAGAAAAGGAATGGAAAAGTATTAAAACACTAGACAAGTTTCTGGAATATCATCTGTAGTTGTTTCTTAAAGTAGAAATATCCTATTCCTCTTAAAAATCACCGTCACAACAGAAGGATTGTTTCAGGGCAAGTAAATTTTTATATGAGTGTATAACTTGAACTCTAATGTTTTATGAAACAATAAAATACCACTATAAAACAGATAAATTTAAAAAAGACCAACCCTGCAAGGTGTTGAGCAGTATCACTTCCAGGATCAGGCAAAGAAACAGCAGCATTGTCAATTAGTTTTGCGCTCTCTCTACAACCAAACCTGTACAATATCTATTATTCAGGTCACATTAGTTGGAAACTTAACATTAAGAAAAACGCAAGAATGATTGTGCTAGTGTCAAATGGCAGGCATGCAATAAGCAAACTCTGTGCTAGGTTTCCTGTGCTGTTCTTCCAACATACCTCATGCCTGCTCTACAGTTCCAAGCTCTGGCCTCTCTTGTAGTGAGCCTGCCAACTGTTTCAAATTATCTGGTGTGATATGGATGTGTGTCCACATGGGAACAGACTGAGGCTATGCAACTCATCCAGATTAGGGGTAAAGTATGCAGAATAAGGGGTAGTATATTAACCTACTATTAAATGTTGTCCCACCTAAAACATCTTGAATCATAAGTGTCGCAAGCATCATCATTAAACTTTTTACATGCAATCCCTACAGAATCTCAGAACAGCATTCACAATCCTGGTCTTAACCTATGGAGTCCTTAACAGATTGGGACCTAACTCACTCAAAGGCTCCCTCACTATCTAAGAGAACTTTGCTCCACAGGCAACGCAGCAGGGGGAATCCAGATTTAGATTATCAGATGGTGGGGAAGAGCAGGACCCTGGCTATGGAACTCCTCGCAAGAAAAGGCTTAGCATCTGAAACTGGCTATTACTGGGTTCAAATGTAAGGCAGGCCTTTATGAGAAAATCTTCCCCTAGGAACAGTGTCCATGAATAATAATCAAGTGAGTATTCTGTTCCCCTCTGACTAGGGGGTGTGTGAACTGAGAATCAACTTTTTTGTTATGCCTGGTGCTCATATAACACAAAGCTGATGCTTTTTCTGAAATACATTCAGCGCTTGGCCACTAAGATAACGGAGGATGTACTTACGATCAACAAATGAAGTGAACAGCATTCTGAATCTGCTGAGTCTGCTACCCTCATCTGCCCACATCCGTATCACTCCTGTTCCCGTCTGCAGCATCACATCATTTGCTACTGTGCTGCAAAACTTTGCCTTCAGGTTTTCAATGGAACTGCTTCCATCATACACAGCTACAAAGTTTCTCTTGCATTCATTTGAGTGCTCCATTTGGTAGTCCAGGAATCTCAAATAAATCTGTTTAAAACAAAACCCCACAACCTCTAAGAAAAGAGAAACAGAATGCCTTAGTAATAAAACAGGACAGAATTTTTCTCTTAGCCTCCCCGTAGACCTGGATTACACAGTATTCTGTCGTCCTTGTATAGGCACGAAACTCCAAGTTCACAAACTCTTGTATTGTATGCTTACAGTTTCAGAACCAGTGATTCCCTCACAAAATGACATCATTATGGAATATTATTTGCAATTATTTTATCCTAAGTATCAATAAATGACAAGAACTTCCCAATGAAAATTGACTAACTTGTTTTCTCTACATAAGCGTACAAGAAAAGCAAAGCTTGTAATACAAAAAATGGTGCAGGCTGAAGAGAGCTGCTTTCAAGCACATTCTAGAACAGATGTAAGCAATATACAAGAAGAATGCATGAATTTTATTTTTCAGGATTTTGGGAAAGGCTTTTTTCTGTGGAAGGTTTCTGAACTTTAGAAAGACTGATTTAAAAAAACAAACCAGAGAAATCTAGTTGAAGAATCCTAAAGTCAAAAAAAAGGAAACAAGTCCTTAAACTCAGCATGGAGGCAGACACAACCTAAATAGAAGCAGGAATGCAAAACACGAACGATTAGAGTTGAAGGGTAAGATTCAAGAGGTTATGTGAGCCAAACTGGTATCCCTCAGAGGCTGGAAATCCAACCCAAAGACAAGAATGAGAACCATATATTACAGCAGACCATACATAATAAGGAATAGGAAGACTAAGGTGGAATTTGAAGTGCAAATAGACAAATTTTAAACTATTTTCCTTCAGGTGCATCTGCAGCAGAAACCTGTGAGCCTTTGTAGATTTGCTGAACTTGCAAGGAGTAAAGGGAACAACTGAGGAGATTTCTGGGCATGAGCTAACCTCTGCTTGATGTGGAGTTAGAAATAAGCTTCTCATAGGGACAGGCTATTCCAGAACTGCCCACTTGAGGTTGTCACCTTTCTCTAAGTCGTCTTCTGATACCAGCTACTGTGATAAACAAATTACTTGACTCAGATTAATGATCTGATCTGGTAGAACAATTCTTATTTTTCCTGAAATAAGTGTGACATGATTTTATAAGTAAAAAAAAAATCATGGTTTATTTGCATACAAATCTTTTAAGTTTCTACATCAGAATGACAAGTTCCTTTGAAAATCCTTCTTTCCCCTCTCCCCCAAGTATTAAAGGGACTAGTGAGAGTCACTTGGACTTGTGCTCCTTAGTTATTTAGTGCTTTTAAAAACTTCATCCTTAAACCATACTAAGAGCTTATCTGCACAGAGACCTGGTGAGCTGCAAACCAGGGTGTGAATGTACAGGACACGAGCTTGCCATGCACTAAGTTGTTGTATAGACCCTGCCACTGGGCACTAAAAGTTCTGTAGCGTGCTTTCACATATTGCTGTTTGTTTTGACATACTGCCATTTCAAACAAAGTGCGCTACGAAACTTTTAGGGTATGTCTACACTACAATAAAGCACCAGTGGCTGGCCTGTGTCAGCAAATTTGGGTTTGGGGCTATAAAATTGCAATGCAGATATCCAGGCTTGGGCTGCAGCCAGGGCTCTGGGTCTCTGCTGCAATTTTATATAGCCATACAACCTGAGTCAGCTGACACAGGTCAGCTGCAGGTGTCTTATTGCAGTACACTAAGGGTATCTCTAAACAGTAGCAAGGCCCACAAGCAACTTAATGGGTAGCAGGCTAGTACGTATTCCCCCTAGCACCCTAAGCCATTGTAACTCCCAGTGTTCTTCACAGGCAAAATGCTGGTAGTATGCCCCTTACGCACCATGTTTGAAAGCCAGTGTCTCCCATATTTTTTTCCCCCTTAATGTGAGAAAATACTCTCTCTAGTAGTTTATATCTGAAACTTTTTCACTGTAACCTACTTCAGTCTGTGCTCAGTATTGCAAATTGTAAAGTACCATTTAGGTGAGTGTTTCATGTCTCTCCTCGCTGTCCCCCATTATTACAGCAACTGTAGCTTTTGTTGACTTCATATCCCGCTGAAGTCAGACAGAGCTGCAGGTGCTCAGCATTTAGCTGAAATATGTAACTCTCATAACTATTGCTTAATTGGATTTTTATTCCTGCTGTGAAACTATAATGGAAGGAATAAAACATTAATACTCAAGCTAGCACTCATGTTGCACCCTTGCTCTGTGCTGTGTACACAAATCAAGGGCACAATTTTTTCCAAAAAGTTTCTGCTCAGTGAAAGATGCATCTGGTTTCTGTGCCTATTGAAAAGAATTTTCAGGATTTCTGCTGCCCACAGAGAAGTTAATACTATTAGAGGCTTCCTCATTAGAATGTTGATTAATATATTATAGAACTTTTCTGAATCCTTGAAGGTTATTTCAGAATATCAATGATGCATAAGCTTTTTATAAAGTCTTCAGTGACTGTCAATTTTCAGATTTATTTTTTATTACAAAAAAAATAAAATCAAATTTGGGAAATTGAAAACCTTTTTTCTTTTTCTCATAAAAGGACAAAACACCCAAGGCTGCTCCATACAACTGTTCAATGTCAGAATCCTGTCAAAACCAGAACTCAGGAGACCAATTTTTAGCACAACAGTTTAAAAATAAGTGTAAAGCTCAAATCATTTAGAAAAATAATCTAGTCTCAAGAGCCACTCAACTACAGAACTGGCTTTAAGCAACATTCAATAATTATTAAAATAATTTAGGCATGGAGTACTCCAAATAGAAAACAAGACAAAAAGATTTTTGAAAAATCATTTCTGGAATGACAATTTCTGTAACTCACTCCAGGATAGAGCTTTTGGGAGTTATGAGTCACTTCCTCAAAACGTGCAATAAAGTTATTTTTTTCTGTTGTTACCCGACTCTCTTGTCCCCTATTATTCTTATGGTTTAGGTAGTTATTTTTGGTACTATTTGGGAAGCTGGAGAACTAGGGCTGTTGGAAAGTTTTCTGTCTAAACTGATTTTTCAACTCAATTAAAGAAAGTGTCTGTTTTCTGTGAAAAACTTGAGTTTTTGCTAAAGGTTTCAGCCAAAAAAAAGGTTTGTTGAAAACCCAAGTCCATTTTTTTGGGGGGAGGGAAAGACACCACCCATTTTCTGATCAGCTCTACTGAAGAATATTTATATCTCTTGCATATGTACCACAGAAGATATATTTGGCACCCTGGGTCTAATCCCACAAAGTGCTGGCTACCCTCAATTCTTCTGGGAGTTGAGGGTGCTCAGTACCCTGAAAGATCAAGCCCCCTTGACCTTCAACAACTGGTTTTATTTCCAATAGGGTAGAGAACATTTACTTCCTTTCCCTATATTTTTTTTTCTTGCATCATGCTATTTTTTATCCTATCACAAGTAGGCATGCAGCTTAAACAGCTATTACTTACCCTATAGGAACTGTAGTTCTTCAAGATGTAGTCAGTGTGGATCCCACTGTAGGTGTGCTTGAGATAGGATTCTTTAAAAGTGAGGATGGAGGGAGAGTCATGGGATCCACACTGCCTACATTATCTTGAAGAACCATAATTAGTGTAGGGTAAGAAACTGTTTACAGCTTGAACTGCACTGTAGGGGACTAGTAAGCAGTATCCCCATTCCCCTCAGGGTAAAGTTCCTGCTGCATCTATTGAACAATAATTGTGTACTGCTCTCCTGAACTTGGCATCTAACCTACCAGCTAAATTCCAGCAAGATCAGTGGTTTACTCCACAGCACTGCATTGCATATAAAATTCTGATACTTATACATTTCTGAAGCAGGTGGAGTGAGCCTTGATGTTCGGTGGGTGAGGTACACCAACTGTCTAACAGTGAGATTCAAAATAGTTAATTCAATGCAAGTCATTGTGATGAGATTACCTTGGCTATAGCCAGAAAGATGGGACAATAGTCTGATTGCTTCATTACATTGACAGGAGTAAACCAAAGTCCTGGATACATTTAGTGTGTGCAACTTTTCTCCTGTGTTGTGTGGTTTTGGTTTGAATTAATTTTGGGTGATGTCTTATTAGCATTATTTCGCTCTGAAACACTGCAGTAGGTATCTAGCCATAAGCGCCTGAAGCTCACTTACTCTGCTGGCTGAAGAGACAGCCACAAGGAAGACAGTCTTCTGAGTGAGGAGCATTCTGTGAGCTCAAAGTGGCCCTCATGGACTGATCTAGCAGCTGTAGTTTGAGCCAAGTGTACCTGCATTTATAAGCCCTGGAAGAAAAGGTGGATCACTTCTATGCAAAAGAGACATCGACCTTGATGGAGATCAGTCAGTCAGTCATAGGATGGCCAGGGTCTGAAGTCCAACATGAGGCATGGCTGTTGGTGCAATGCACTTTGCCCCTCTGCACAGGAGGATTAGCATTTATATAAATCTCCTTCCATGTTTTGAGAGTGTGAAGGTAAGATTTCTTCATAAATTTGGTGAAAGAAAATTTTAGAATATTGCAGCTTGGACACTCACCGGGTTCTGTCTCCCTGCCATGTTGAGTATGAGCGCGGAGGGAGGGACACAGCCACTCCACCCTTTATGCCCTCTTACGGGAGGACGAGGAGGCACAGGGGCTGTGCTCGACCCTAACTGCCACGGCTATTGAAAGAATCCAGTCTTGTGTGCATTAGGCACAAGTACAGCTACAATGACACATACTCAAAGAAGAATCTCAGAAACAGTTACTTGGTTAATGCATAAGATGGTAAAACTTCAGTGACACACTCATATGTAGTAATCCACAAACTGAATATATAAGATTCCCACATGCTACAAATGTGACCAATTTTAGAAAGGAGGTTCAATGGTATATGTCTGTTAGCAGGCCTGATTCTTTTCCCACTGAATCCCATGGCAAAGTTCTCACTGACTAATTGGAGTGGAATAGGACTCTGTTTCTATACACAGGTTTCAGAGTAACAGCCGTGTTAGTCTGTATTCGCAAAAAGAAAAGGAGTACTTGTAGCACCTTAGAGACTAACCAATTTATTTGAGCATGAGCTTTCGTGAGCTACAGCTCACTTCATCAGATGTATACCGTGGAAACTGCAGCAGACTTTATATATACACAGAGAATATGAGACAATACCTCCTCCCACCCCACTGTCCTGCTGGTAATAGCTTAATCTGTTTGCATTTGGAAAGGAAGATGATGTCTGTCTGTATCTGTACTTTTACCAGCAGGACAGTGGGGTGGGAGGAGGTATTGTCTCATATTCTCTGTGTATATATAAAGTCTGCTGCAGTTTCCACGGTATACATCTGATGAAGTGAGCTGTAGCTCACGAAAGCTCATGCTCAAATAAATTGGTTAGTCTCTAAGGTGCTACAAGTACTCCTTTTCTTTTTTCTATACACAGACTCCAGTTCTGTAGGCACAGGTATAGAGGTTCTACAAATTCCCGATTTTGCTCACATATCAGGTAACAAACATTACCTAAGACTACCCTTTGTCTACAGCTAACTGTGCCCATTAAACTGGAGGCCAAGTTGCAGGCCCTTTAAACATGTAACCCATAAAATTATCAAAGTGTCTGAACATTATAAATTTCAGGTCCGGGAACAGTAGCTGCATCAATGGACCTGCAGTTACATTTATTTCAGAAACAAGTATCTATCTTAATTTCCTCAACTGCCAATAGCTAATTAATTTAAATGAAAGTGAGACATTTTGTAAATAATTACTAATGACCATTCCCTATTACTAATGGGCTTTAGAAGCCCATTATATATTTAATGATATAAATGGCCTTGCCTTAGCATTTGGAGTAGCCTTAATTGTCCATATGCAGTCAATTGCTTGTCCAGGTTTTGTTTTCTCTTCTTGTTCTACTTGACTGGAACGTACTATTCCATCAGCTCCTGAAAGCTCAAACTGGCAGTCTAGAAAGAACATACAACTTGCTATCAAATGCAACATGAGATTGATTAAAAATTTCATGTACAAATAAATTGGTATTGTAATACTAGACCTGGGATGGGATTTAAAATACCTCCTAGGTAAGTGAAGTCTGGATCTGCAACAAAAGAAGTCACAAATCATTGGGGCTGGCAGTTGAGAATCACTTCAAGGTTTAACACAATCTAGAGACAATCTATTTCCTAACACACCACAAAATATCAAGTGCTAGAACAGATATTGAATCAATGGGAGAGATGTGATACTCTTGTTACCTGAGGCTTGATTCCATGATACATGACCATACCTCACTAAGATGGTTTAATATTTCTAATATAATGGAGGTGGTTAACACCACACTAGAATTTCCTTTGTTTTTTATTCCCACCTAATCCTATAACCTGATCTGCACTGATGGATCCCTGCACCTGTGCTGGCTTACACTAAAATCAACAGAGCTCCACAAGGGCACAGGGATATACCTGTGCACATCAGACTGCAGGATCAAAGGGTATATAAATAGCTCTGTACAGCATCAGGTAGAAGAGGTTTATTAGTTCAATTTGATGTTGCAAGATCAGAGTTCTGGAATTACTAGTTACTCAGGAACATTACAACAAAGGGTAAACAAGCAACAAGGACCAAGATTTTCCCTTGGATACACACGTCTCCCATTGATGTCACTGGTAGCCACAGACATGCATCTAAGGACATAATTTAGCCCTAGGTTTCTCTTGAACTGTGTTCTATACATACCTGCCTGGAAATTGTACTGCTAATGAGTTCAGAGCAGATTTTTCCAAAGAGGTCCACAGCAGAGGAGCAACAGAAAGCTCCAGCATTTGTCTCTTCATTTCAGTGGAACCAGAATTTGGTCCAAAATGAGCATGCACTATTGCATGTGCAAGCACTCACATTTTCATGAGCAGTTTAGTATTTTTCCCCACACACAACTCAACAGGTGAGCCTTGCAAGTTACATGTGCATGTGTTGCACAGGCAAAACCTGAATTTTTGTACACCAGTGTTCCAGTCCACAAACAGCTCCACAAAGTGTGTGGGCAAATGGTAATCTATTATTATTGTGCAGATGCTAGTGTTTGCCCATGCAATGGCTGCATGTCCATTTTGGACCAAATCCTGCTCCCACTGAGCTCAAGGCGCAGAATTTGTGTGGGCCTTTATCTATAAAAGGGATTTACAGTTAAACAAAAAATGCATAAATCCTGATTGACTTAAATACTTAAGACAGTTCGGAAAATTCCATCCTTGCCCACTACCATTGAGCTATATAGTCTGGCACATATGTTCACTGTAGGGAAACCTCTGCAAGTCAGAGTTTCAACCTCCTTTCTGAATTTGCTCTTCCTTGTGAATTTAAGTCAATTACTTAGTGTCATTTAAGTGTTTTGTGAGGCTTAATTTCTTTTTCTGATTTTTGTTCATTGTCACTGGTACTTTAAATATTTAAACATATTGTGAAAATGTAAAAGAATGAAAACAGAATATAATGGTTCTTTTACAGTCCACCACAAAAATAAATATGTGCGTGGCAGATTTAGAATACAAGCCCGAGCCTTGCTAGCACTAAGCTAACTTGGTTTTGAGAATGACATATTAGTTCAATTGCTTTGGAAGGTAGCTTGGCGCACACATCCATACAACCCCTGCAAGAACATTTTAGCACATCCCACACGGTTCCCAAAGGTTTAGTGACCCATGCTAATCAGAACAGCACGAGAAACTAAATCCACAGAAGAGTGAAAACAGTTCTGTTGAACACTTATACTAATGTATAATATTTTCCTATGATTCTGGAGATGAAGGGCATGTCTGGGAAAGAGAGGGAACATAAAGCAGTTACACCTGTGAATAACACTTGTCGCAATAGCTGACATTTATATTTTGCTTTTGGTCCCAAAGGATCCTAAAGTGCTTATAACTATATGTACAGTATCTAAAATACAGCCACCTGGAGCAGAGCATTCTGCACAAGGACATTAGATCAAATCCTCTCTCACCAAAGGTGCCATAGGAACTTTATTTCCACACAGAGCAGAAATAACCTCAGTTTGTTTTTTTTTTAAATGAGCTTGCAACCAAAATATTCCTCTTCTCCGCCCCGCCCCCATAATGTGCTCAAATCTGCCTCAGCAGAACGAAGAGCTGAGTCAACACTCTTAGGATTTGAAACCACGGTTCCAGAGAATCTACGTATTTCAAAAGCTGATGCTTAGCCCATTAAGCCATTTTCTCCAGCTTTGCATGCCTGAGATTATACCCTAGTCCAGACGTGGGCAAACTACGGCCCGCAGGCCGACCCTCCTGCCTGGCCTGGGAGGCTAGTCCCCAGCCCCTCCCCTGCTGTCCCTCCTCCCCCACAGCCTCACCTCGCCGCACCACCGACACAATACTCGGTGCGGTGAGCTCCTGGGGCAGTGCAGCTTCAGAGCCCGGCCTGACTCAGTGCTCGGTGCTGCATGATGGCGTGGCTGGCTCCAGCCGGGCTACAATCAACTGGTGCTCCAGGCAGCGCGGTAAGGGGGCGGCGGATGTTGGATAGAGGGCAGGAGAGTTTGGGGGGGGCATGGACAGGGGTCTGGGCGGTCAGAGGGTGGGGAACAGGGGGGTTGAATGGGGGTAGGGGTCCCGGTGGGGGACAGTCAGGAAGGAGGGGAGATTGGATGAGGTGGCGGGGGGCGTTGAATGGGGACAGGGGTCCGGGGGGGGGCAGTCAGGGGACAGGGAGAAGGCGTGGTTGGATGTGGCAGGGGTCAGTTAGGGGCAGGGGTTCCGGAGGTGGTCAGGGAGAAGGGGGGGTTGAATAGGGCAGGGCAATCAGGAATGAGAGGAGGGGTTGGATGGGGTGGTGGGGGTCAGTCAAGGATGGGGGTTCCAGGGACAGGGAGGGGTGGATGGGGAGTGGGGGGGACGGGACGGATGGGACCTCAGGAGGCGAGAAGCAGAGGAGGGTAGATGGGGGGGACGGGGGGACACACATCAGGAGGCGGGGCCACGCCTGGCTGTTTGGGGAGGCACAGCCTACCCTAACCGGCCCTCTATACAATTTCCGAAACCTGATGCGGCCCTCAGGCCAAAACGTTTGCAGGCCCCTGCCCTAGTTGGTACATTTGGTACCAGATTCTGTTTGCCTCTAGTCAGGGGCACACAGCTCAGGATCAAAGAGGGTGTAGGGAAGATGCATTGGCACAGGGAGACAGCAGAATCCATATTCTTGAGCTCCTTGAGTGCAAGCTGCACTAATCCTATCACTTTACATAAGCAGGGAAGGGGAGAGAACTAGGGCCCATTGCACACAGATTGAGCTACTGGTCTGAAGCCTGCAGAGGGACTATATGCTACACATTAAAAGGAGGCAGCAAGTAGGAACATGCTTCTTCTAGCACCTTCAGAGACAGTCTGTATGCCTCATTACAGCTGCTGAGGTAGCCCTTCCATGCTATATCCTCCCTGCTATTCCTGCCCCATGTAAATGATGGCTTAGAAGCCACAACATGGCCCTAGCTTTTGACTAATATGATGCATATTGGAGAAAGCAGCACAGTTTAAACGCTAGCCTTGCTACCCTCTTTTAAGCCATCTTAAATTTCTTTATCGTGTTCAGTTTCTTAAACTATGTTTGTGAGGAAGTTCTCAAGACTGGGTTAGCTTAGTGCTATTACGGAAAGTGATTGTGTGGTAAATAAAACTCTTACCATTCTTAGAGTTGTTAGATAGGCTGTATACAAGCTGTGAATCAGCAATTATGCTCTGTTGTTTCCAGGTTCTTACCATGATTTACAATTGCTTGTGTAGACAGGGCTACAGACTAATGCCTTCCATAGGCATGTTGCCCTCTTTGGAAAAAAATACATATTTACACTATTATACACGTATGTTTTTCTTCACAGATTAAGGTGGCTCTGAAAAGGACCACAAATGGACCAACTGAGGCATCCTTACAAATGTGGATTTTTGACCAAATGTTAAGAACTCTTGAGTCCATGTGAAAACGTGTCAGATCTTATTATGAAGCTCTGAAATAATCAATAGTGATTTGATGGATACCAATTTTAATATGTTTAAAGAGTTACCACATAGTCTCAGTAACCAATTTTCAAACATTAGTTCAGTCCACTTAGTATCTCTTTAAACAAGACGACATGAGATGGGCATAGTCCACATCACAGACTAAAGGACTAAATCGGTCAGGTGCTGTGCAACCACTATGAGGTACTGAGCACCCTCCACTCCCAGACTGGCTATGCCTAGGATTCTTTGTGCATTCCTTCAGTGCTATTCTCGCACCCGTGCTAAAAAGTTTGGAATGGTAGTGTAGACTGGCTGCTGCTGTCGTCTTTGACATCACGTCAAGCTAACATAGATGACATGGTGGGGAAATTTCCAGCGGCTAGTTTACACTAACATTCCTACTACAGCACCCATAGAGCTGTGCTGGTTGTAGAACAACTGTGGGAGAATTCCCTAAAGCCCTCAGCATTGACCTCTTTACTCTGAAAATTAGGGCCTGTAATTTTCCACCAGGTTTAGCTCCCCCAGTTTCAGCAACAGAGGAAGCTGTAGGGTTGACAGTGCTCAGATGTTTTTAGCCACCATGTTATCTAACCCTGCTCACAGCTATACCAGTCACGAAATACAGCTCCAAACTGCCAGTATAAACAGCTACTGAGTTCATGGCAGTAGATGGAACTGAGATTTTAAAGTCTTGAATTTGTACCTTGATATTAGTTTGAAATTCTGTCTGAGCAAAAACAACAACTAGACGATGTAAGAAGCTATTTAATAAGGTATCTTTACCTGGTATAAACGAATATTTTGCTTGAAATCCCTCTCCTTCTAGCTCCTCATCCGAAGTAAACTTTATCCACATAAACCTCCCTGTTGATCTAATTAGTGCAGGACTTTTCAGACCACAGTAACGATCGATGAGAGGGGAAAAACCAAAAGGTCCATCTCGAACTTCAACGTGATCAAATCGACATTCAAATGAGGGTTCTATGTAATAAGGTTCATCAAAGGTCAACTCAATTCTTTGGCGTGGAGCAGCTACAACACAATAAAAGTTTCAACACAGTATTAATTGATAATGTGTGAAACACTGACACTAGGCAGTGAAATAATGAAGCAACAAAACCCCAAAAAAGTGTAAAAATCAGAGGCATGTGACACTTCTCAAAGTCAGTCTAGTAAGCTTACTGAAGTAACTGACACCCTGTATAATTAGAATGCCTTCTGCATAATCAGGTAACCTTTGCATTTTTTCAGTAGGCTGTAAGGTTTTTATTATTTTAATACAAACATCACAAAGACCTCTACCCCCCACAAAAAGCTTAAAATTATCACCTCTAACATACATACACAAAACACATTTTAACAGCCTTAGTATTAAACTACAAAAATCAAATAAGTCAGTATTTTACAACTAATGGGGAGATAACACAGACAAGGCAGGGAGAGAAAGGGGAAAAAGATGGGCGGGGAGGGAGTCGAAAAGGAGGTCTTGACTGACGGCTGGGTCCTTGGTGTTCATTAGTCAAATGTTTCTGAAAATGAAGCCCAGATTTCTTCCAACTCACTGTTTTTCAAACTCTTCAACCACATGGGTGGAAGGTGACTCTCAATAGTTCTTTTCGTAACTGAATCTTTACTGAGAGTTTAAATAGCACCTACAATATACACCAGGATGCATATACACATTCATTATTCAAATGTGGGTGTCTAAAGTTCGACACCCAGGAACTTGATCTAAACCCCAATGGAGTCAAAGGGAGTCTCTGACTTCAATGGGCTTTGAATCAGGCCCTTCATCAGGCACGAAGTGCAAGTACCCAAGGTTCTTTTTTGTGCCTTTCTTGTGGCGCCCACCTACTCTGTGTATAGTTTGAAAATTCTTTGTTCTAGCAACAACACTGTATGGAATATGGGTGACCATTTATAAAATTATTGATACCAATATCACAAAGTTGCAATGAATCTTACAAGATATGCCATGTAAGGTATCAGTGGAAAATTAATTAGCTAAATATGATAATCTTGTTTATATGTATATATATCATCTTTGTATCCTGAGTTATTATAACTTAATATATGAGATATATTTGAATCTCAAATTTGTGCTGTGTTTCTGGGTGACACCCCAGACAGATTGGAATCAGCAATATCCAGCCTGCCCTCGATGAGCCATGAAGCAATCAAGAAGAAGCCAGGGGCTACCTACACCTATGAGTCAGCAGGACACGTAGGAACATGCCTGTGGACAGGGGACTCCACATTCTTTTCCATGCCCATATGCTGTGAGCTTGTGTTTGGGACAAAGGATATACAAGCCACATGGCAAAGGATAAAAAATGGAGAAAATGCAGCTGCCTTTTTGTCTTCAATCCTGCTTCTCACCTCTGGAGTAACTTCTCTACAAAGATCAATAATATCTTGGTCCTTTGAATAAAGGACTGAGTGACCCATCCAACCTTTGGATGTGTTCCAGAGGGACTTCACAAGCCAGCCAACTCACCAATGCTGCTAAAAATCTTATATATGGACTCTGAAGTCATATGTATGTATCTGATTGCTTTCCATCATTTAACAACACTCCTCTTTCCTTTCTTTTATGATAAACTTTTATTTTAGATAGTAAAGGATTGGCTAGCAGCGTGGTATTTTGGGTAAGATCCAAACTAGTAGTGACCTGGCAAACTAGTAGGGGCTGGCCCTTTGGGGATCAGAAGAACATTCTGTATAGTGAGTAGAGTTTTAAACAAACAACTTCTCACTTTACTGGACCTATTTGCTGATTGGGAGCCAGAGACTGGGATGCAATAAAGAGGGCTGTGTGATTTAAAAGATTCTTGATAACCAGCGTGATGGATCAGGAGCACGGCGTGTAACTGGTTGGTTAATCTAACGACAATGTTAACCACCAATTTTGGGAGAATCTGCTCTCCTTTTTGCAGCCTGCCCTGGGTATTTTCATTGTGGGCTAACCTAGGCACCTCAAGTCACACTAGGTATATACTATACCAAATTAATCTTTTAGACTTTGACTTGTGGAGTAGAGAAGCAAGGAGCTGCTTTAACATCTACCAGCTGGCAGTGATACCTAAGGGACTATATACCACCTGAAAATTGCTGGAGAGCATTGTACTCGCCCATGCCCCCTCCACATCCTTGCACTGAGAGCTGTAGGGAGGGAGGCAGAGGAACCCGCTCTCTGCCTGTTGGGAACTCCCTCATGCCAGGGAAATTTCCCGCTAGGAGTCTGTGGCCAGTCTCAGCACATTCCACGTGGCCTGTGCAGGGCAAAGGGATCAGAGCATGGCAGAATATCTGCCTCAAAGTATATTCAGTCATAAATAAGACACAAAGGACCATAAATGCATTCAAGAGAAAACCAAATATACTATACTTATGACTAAGACGCCACTGAAACTGAAAACTCACCACAGGATATTGTAAAGGAGACTTGCAGTGACACAGGAATACTTAGTTTCATCACTAGAGGTCTGAGGACAATCCCACTGAAGTCAGTGCAGGGGTGAGTGGGGGTCCTTCTATGGACTTAACTGGTTTTATATGAATCCCTATGAGAGGAATCTGTTCAGTGTGGCCCAAGTCCTGCAGTCCTTATTCAGCAAACTCTCACTGCAGTACATTTTTTGAGTTAATGGGATTTTTTTTTTGCCCCGTCACACACAACCTTAACGGGGAGCTCAGCCACACTGAAGCACCCTAAATCTGCAAATGAACAGGCTACAGGACAGTCAGATGCGTGTCTCCCTGTGGATACAGGCGAGCACAAGGTCAGCTTTGAGATTCTGTGTGACACCGAGTTGGATGAAGATGGGGATAGATACTGTCTTTTTGAAGTGGTGGAGATGGCAGAGTGTCCCTTTCAGAGTGCATTAGTATTGTAGATCATTGGTCTCCAGAGTGGGGTGTGCAAGACTCTCCCTGGGGGTGCACAGCAGGGGGAGCTCAGTCTTCGGCGGCACACCAGCGGCAGCTCGGCTCTCCCTGCTCCGTCTTCAGCTGCAGCTCTTTTTTTGCTTCCCCAGAGCTGGCCCTGGAGGTGCGCGATTCAAAAAGTTTGGAGACCCCTGCTGTGGATGATGTGACAGTGGGGAGGAAAGCTAAAGACTTCTCCTTTAAACTTGTTATTTCTATGCTTTCAAGGATTTGGGAGGGACCTGATACATCCCTAACTGTCACTAAATAAGGGCTTTGTGTTAATTCATAAATGTTTAAGTATTCCAGGAATTTGTAGTTACTGTTTTGCAGCCCAAACGTGTCCCCTCCTTACTCAGCCTAACATCTGCAGAAGCAAATGAACATATTACCAATATCGTCCAAGTAACTTTACTTAATATAAACAGAATAGCAGAACAGTTCCACTTCCTATACTTTCAACAGTAAGAATACAATACACCAAAGGAGGAAGAGGATGTTAGTACCTTCCAAAATGTAGATACACTCCTGGTTTGGTGGGTACAAATTAGGATAGTTTGGTGAAGCAAAATGGCCTCCATTGCTTGTCCGAACCCAGTTGTCACACTGTGTAGATGGTATGTGATTTACTCCAATATTCTGCCCACCTTTAAAAAGAAAAATCACACGTGTATACTACAAGAGACAAACAAAAACCATCCATTTGGAACAGTATATCTTAGGGTGTGGCACTAACTGTCAGAGGGAAGAGACAGCTGGTGCTACCTGCAGATCCTCTTATACTAGCCAGCTGTCCCTATTTAGCAAAGGGATTTTATTTCTGTAAAAAGCATATTATAGTTTAGCAGCATGGCAGATCCCATCCACTATTTTGGAATATCAAATCTGCATAGTTATTACTGAGAAGTGGTAAGGAACCTGTGATAAGAGTTAGAATCTTGAGTACATTCTTCTTTTCAAGTCAGTCACTGTGGCATGCAATACTGCTATACTCCTTTACAATGAACTAAAATGCTACAGAAACCCCCCCCCACTCAATATTACCACCCAGTTTTCTTTCACGCTCATATGCAAGTTTGACCTATTAAAGTTAAAGGGCAAGGCTTAGCAGGACTGGACCCTTGATTTCTCTGTTCACATTACTGCTGTTGGCCTGATTCAGGATTGCACTCAAGCATACACGCTTGAATTAAGACCTTCATCTATAGTATGTGGTTCATTATAATATTTACAATGTTTAAAATAGTTATTGCTAAACGTGGCAGTATTAATAATAAAACAAGTTGAAGTAATATTGCACTAGTGTCGAGAGGGTATGGCTACACTACGAAGTTAGGTCGATTTTATAGAAGTCAATTTTTAGAAATCGATTGCGTATGTCCACACTAAGCACATTAAGTCGGCGGAGTGCGTCCTCACTACCGTGGCTAGCATCAACTTACAGAGCAGTGCACTGTGGGTAGCTATCCCACAGTCTCTGCCGCCCATTGGAATTCTGGGTTAAGCTCCCAATGCCTGATGGGACAAAAACATCGTCGCGGGTGGTTTTGGGTACGTCATCAGGCGCCCCTCCTTCCATGAAAGCAACAGTAGACAATCGTTTCGTGCCTTTTTTCCGTGCAGACACCATACCACGGTAAGCATGGAGCCCGCTCAGCTCAGCTCACCGTCACCACTGCTGTTATGTCCTGGGTGGTGTTGTCAGCAGACGATGCAGTACAACTGCTAACCATCATCATCCATCGCTTCCGCAGCAACTCTGCTCTCCTGCTCTTGTAAATGAACTCCATCTCAATAGCAAATTTCTCCATGTTGTCGTCATCCACTGCAACTCTGCTCTCCTGGTGCCATGAATCCACCTCGCAGGTCCTCGTCGTTCTGTATAAATATCTCTTCTTGTGGCATCTGTCGTCATCCTCCGCTTCCGCTGCAACTCTGCTCTCCTGCAGACACCATACCACAGCAAGCACGGAGCCCGCTCAGCTCACCGCTGCTGTTGTGAGCATTGTAAACACCTCGCGCATTATCCTGCAGTATACGCAGAACTGGGCTAAGAGATGCCAGCACAAGGACGATTTTGATGAGGACATGGACACAGACGTTCCTGAAAGCATGTGCTGTGGCAATTGGGACATCATGGTGGCAGTGGGGCAGGTTGATACAGTGGAATGCCAATTCTGGGCCCGGCAAACAAGCACAGACTGGTGGGACTGCATAGTGTTGAAGGTATGAGATGATTCACAGTGGCTGCAAAACTTTCGCATGTGTAAGGCCACTTTCCTGGAACTCCGAGTTGTTTTCCCTCACCCTGAAGCGCAGGAATACCAAGATGAGAGCTGCCCTGACACTTGAGAAGAGAGTGGCGATAGCCCTGTGGAAACTTGCTACACATGACTGCTACCAGTCAGTCGGGAATCAATTTGGAGTGGGCAAATCTACTGTGGGGGCTGCTGTGATCCAAGTAGCCAATGCAATTATTGATGTTGTGTTATCAAGGGTAGCGACTCTGGGAAATGTGCAGGTCAGAGTGGATGGCTTTGCTGCAATGGGTTTCCCTAACTGTGGTGGGGCGATAGACGGAACCGATATCCCGATCTTGGCACCAGACCACCTTGCCAACCAGTATGTAAACTGCAAGGGGTACTTATCAGCGGTGCTGCAAGCACTGGCGGATCACAAGGGATGTTTCACGGACATCAGCATGGGATGGCCGGGAAAGATGCATGACGCTGGCATCTTTAGGAACTCCGGGCTGCTTGAGCAGCTGCAAGAAGGGACTTACTTCCCAGACCAGAAAATTACCATTGGGGATGTTGAAATGCCAATAGTTATCCTTGGGACCCAGCCTACCCCTTGCTCCCATGGCTCATGAAGCCGTACAAAGGCAGCCTGAACAGTAGTAAGGAGCAGTTCAACTATAGGCTGAGCAAGTGCAGAATGGTGGTAGACTGTGCCTTTGGATGTTTAAAAGCTCACTGTGCTGTTTGCTGACTAGGTCAGACCTCAGTGCAACCAAACATTCCCATTGTTATTGCTGCTTGTTGTGAACTCCATAATATCTGTGAGTGTAAGGAGAAGACGTTTATGGCGGGGTGGGAGGTTGAGACAAAATCGCCTGGTGTCTGATTTTGAGCAGCCAGACACCAGGGCTATTAGAAGAGCACAGCAAGGTGCGCTGTGCATGAGAGAGGCTTTGAAAACCAGTTTCATGACTGGCCGGGCTTTGGTGTGACAGTTGTGTGTTTTTCTCCTTGATGCAAATCTGCTCCTTTTGTTGATTTTAATTCCCTGCAAACCAACCACCCTCCCCCCTTCGAAATAAAGTAACCATTGTTTTGAAACCATGCATTCTTTATTAAACAAAAAAAGGGAGATAACAGACAAGGTAGCCCGGGTTGGGTGGGGGAGGAGGGAAGGACCAGGCCACATTGCTTATTGTAGCCACACTACAAATCAAACTGTTTTAGTGACAGCCTTCTGTTGCTTGGGCCATCCCCTGGAGTGGAGTGGCTGGGTGCCCAGAGCCTCCCCCCACCACATTCTGGGGCATCTGGGTGAGGAGGATATGGAACTTGGGGAGGAGGTCAGGCGGTTCTACAATGGATGCAGCGGGGGGTCCGTGCTCTTGTTGGCTTTCCTTCAGCTGCACCAGACTCTTTATCATGTACGTTTGCTCCCCCATTAGCCTTAGCATCACCTCCTGCCTCTGCTCTTCACGCCCTGCCTTTGCTCTTTGTGCTCACTTAATGCTTTCCTAGCCTCTAACACTGAATGCCTCCATGCATTCAGCTGTACCCTATCAGTGCAGGAGGACTGCATGAGCTTAGAAAACATGTCATTGTGAGTGCGGGTTTTTTTTTTGGTCTTCTAAGCTCCTTAACTTTCACACAGCACTGCTGTGTGTCCCTGTTGTGGCATCTCTACACTATGCCCTGTGAGATTTTGGCAAATATATTTGCATTTCTTCTTTCTGATCGGAGTTCGACCTGCACAGATGCTTCTCCCCATACAGCAATCAGATCCAGTGTCTCCCTTTTGGTCCATGCTGGAGCTTGTTTGCTATTGTTGGGGGGGGACTACGTGGTCACCTGTGCTGCGGAGTTTGCCACACTGATCAAACAGGAAATGAAATTCAAAAGTTCCCAGGGCTTTTCCCGTGTACCTGGCTAGTGCATCAGAGTTCAAAGTGCTGTCCAGAATGGTCACAATGGAGCACTCTGGGATAGCTCCCAGAGGCCAATACTGTTGATTTGCATCCGCACTACCCCAAATTCGACCTAGCAAGGTTGATTTTAGCATTACTCCCCTCACCGGGGAGGAGTACAGAAGTCGATTTTAAGAGCCCTTTAAGTCGACGGAATGGGGTTGTTTGTGTGGACGCATTCATTTTAAAATTGACCTAATGTGGCTAAATTCGACCTACCCCTGTAGTGTAGACCAGGCCTAGAAAACTATGATCCCTGCCCTGAGGTTAATTGGTTTGATAAACTAAGATACCATACCAGATCACTCCCTGGAGCTATGCACACAGAAGGGGCCCTCCAGGCATAGATGTCCCTGCCACCTCTCTACCATCTTAACACCATGGATATCCCTTGGTGGAGTTTAAAATCTGCAGGCTTGGAAAGGGTAGGGCAGGACAACTGGGTTTCTGCTAGATCCTCCCATTCTCACAGGGGAAACAACCATAATGTACTTATGCAACTTTCCCTTATACACTGGAGAACTGGGCTTTTGAGGGGGATTCTATGGTGAAAGGAGTTCCTAGCAGCCTCTAGTAGGTCCCTCCAAAATAGATAAGAATCTTGGGAAAATTCTGGAGACTGAATTCTGCAGAAGAAGTCAAAAGAAATTCTGCAAGTGTCAACTCAGAGAAATTCTCTCTCTCCTCTTATTCCAATCTAAGGGAGAAACTGGCTTGTAATGCCATTTGCCTCTTCCCTACCCCCAAATGGGGATTATCTCCTAACATTTTGAGGGAATGCAGACATATTAAAAAAATTGGAAAGGCTTGCTGACATACACAAAAAATGGAGGGCTCTGTACTGTTTTGTTCTACCTATAAGGACTGAACTGATCTGGATATGAAAAAGATAGTTGGTTATTTGCAGTTAACTATTTTTTATTTTCATTAAGAGTTGTATTCATTTGGCAAAATGAAATGCAATAAATAAGGAAAAATATATATAAAAAACTGAAGTAAATCTTACAAAGTGAAATATCCTAATGAGAAAGCATTTTGGATTTCCCGTATCTACCTAACTTACTTTATTTACAATTACAAAAAACAAATTTCTTTTAAAGAAAATCATGTCAATACTGTACCTTGTGTCTTCTGTGCCACAGCAATCCCTTCCACTACAAGTATTGTTATTAACAACACTGGTGAGAGAAACAGAACAAGTAAGACATCAGTAATGAAAGCAGAAACCAGAAGTCTTTTTCTGCAGCCCTTACTCAGGCAACACCTAAATGAATCCAAATCACGAGTCAAAATACACATACCGGTTTATTAAAAGCAAATCAGTTATTTTAATTCCTAGGAAACTTAGTGCTCGTGAAAAGTGCTGGATTTACAGTCCTGAAGATAAAGGACTTTAATCTACTTTTGAGACAAAGAAGCTACTCAACATTCAGAGCCCTAGGGATGTTCCATATAGAAGTAGAAATTGAAGCATCTGGTATTTTCTTTGACAAAATCTTATTTACAAGGAACATACAAAATCCTGCTCCTCTGAATGCAGGAGGAATCAAGAACACAAACCCCAAGCCTCTGTTGCCAATATCAGACCCAAAGTACTGTTTAGTTTTCCCAGGGTCACTGTGCATACAGGCTAATGCTTGGCCTTCTTGCCTCTCTCTGTTCTAGTCTGTTCTCAGTTTGTGTGTTCTCTCAAACCCTTCCCTGCCACACACCCCTGCTATTCACAAAGCCCAGTGGCTATGGGCTAGTTTCTGGGCAGACTAAGGGTACGTCTGCATTATAAAGAAAAACCTATAGCACCAACTCTCAGAGTCCAGCGCAATTGACTTGGGTTTTGCTATTTTTTAGCCGCACAGCTATGTAGATGTTCCCACTCAGGTTGGCCCCTGGGCTCAGCCACCCATCACCATCAGCAGATTTCAGAGCCCAGGCTCCAGACCAAGTGGGAACATCTATATTGATGTTTTTAGCCCTGCAGCTCAATTGACTCGGACTCCAAGGTTCAGTGCTCCAGGTTTGTTTTTTTTTGATGTGTATACATAGCCTAATATTGAGCAGCATGGTGTTACTGTGTTTGGAGGACGGATTGCAATTATGCCACTATAAGGGCAGCCGTTTCTGTCTAAACTAGCATTAATGATGCACAATACAGTGGTACAGAGTTTTACTCTGAATGGGTGCAATTGCTAGAGCTCACAACCTTTGTGCACCACTGCAAGCACTCATATATGCTAATAAATTGTGTTACTAGTGTGGCAGATGCTTGCACCATTAGCCTTTTCAAGTATAGGCTTGTTCCATGTTCTCTATTTGTATAGCCCCCCCAAATACAACTGTCGGATGAGGTCACCTTTGCTTCTCAAATTGCTTGTCTGTGGTCTTTAGGCTTTTCCCATGCATCATGTGAGTTGCAGCATGAGCATCAACAGCACCTATGGAGAAAGGATTCTAATCCAGGTCTCTGAGTGAGGCCTGAATGGGGCTTTGGCCTCAGAGTGGGGGAGGTCTGGAGTTTAAGGATAATTTACCTCACCTGGGACAACTCAAGAATGGAATATTCCTAAACATATTCATAGGCCACAAGAAGTAAAAGTAAAGTAAAACCAAGCATATTAGAAAAAGTGAGGGGAAAATATTCCAACGAACCAACCAACCATTTAAAAAAAGCAGAATCATCTTTGGGCATGTATACACTAGAAATTTTTGTCACCGCAAATTACATCATCTTAAAGTTGCTGCAGTTAGTATACCACTTGTGCATGTGCATACTTAACTCCTTGTGTCAGCGCTGTGTGTACTCACCAGGAGTGCTTGTGTTGATGAACAGTGGATACGTATCAGCACACTGTCTTCTGGGAAATGTTGGCAATGCATGGTGGGGCAGAAACGAGTCACACGGATGACTGGGAGCAAGGGGTCAGTTTCCTAGCATGCAACTTTCACCATCCCAAAATGTCATCTACATCCATGATATTTTCCCCCTTTTAAAAAATCCCAAACACCTGTGTGACCATTCTTGCTATCCGCCATTTAAGACCGACGCGTAGAGTCCGCACAGCTCTGCATTAATGTCACAAGCGTTGCAAGCACAAGATGCACGATCCTCTAGTATTGGCAGAGCTGCAACAACAACAGAATTGGGGGGGAACATGACAATTTCATGGAGTGCAGATGGCTGTGGGACATAGGGAGAACCAATTCAAGGTGGTTGTTGGTGTTTCTGGAGCAACTGCAGGTGGTTGAGTGCTGCTTACGGGCCCAAGAAGCAAGCATTGACTGGTGGAATTGCATCATAATACAGGCTTTGGATGATGAGCAATGGCTGCAGAACTTTCTGATGTGTAAAGCTACATTCCTGGATGCATGTGCCAAGCTCACTCCAGCCCTCCCGCACAAGGACACCAGAATGAGAGTGGCACTGACACTGGAGAAGTGACTGAAAATTCCACTGTTGAAACTCGCAACACTGGATTGCTACCAGTCAGTGGGAAACCATTTTGGAGTTGGAAAATCCACATGGGGGGGGGGGGGTCAGTGTCATGCAAGCGTGCAGAGCCAGAATTCATCTCCTGCTACATAGGACTGAGATTCTCAGCAACGTGCAGGACATAGGGGATGGATTTGCAGCAGTGGAGTTCCTGAATTGAATTAGATGGCACTCATATCCCTGTTTTGGCACCACACTACCTTGCCACAGGGTGCCATCAACAGAAAGGGCTACTTTTCTATGGTTATGCAAGCATTGGTGGATCACCAGGGATGCTTCACCAGCATCAATATGGGTTGGTCAGGGATGGTGCATGACGCTCACATGTTTAAGAACTGTGACTGTTCAGAAAGCTACCACCAGGGACTTGCTTTCCCAACCAGTGGATTACCACTGGCGATGTTGAAATGCTAATAGCAAACCTGGGGGAGCCAACCTACTCCTTGGTGCCCTGGCTCATGAAGCAGTACACCAGCCACCTTGACAGCAACAAGTAAAGATTTAACTCTGGCTCAGCAAGTGCAGGATGACAGTTGAATGCACTTTCAGTAGACTGAAGAAATGCTTGCATTGTTTAAGATTGATTCTCAGTGGAAAAAAAAAAAACCATCCCAATGGTTATAGCTGCCTGCTGTGTCCTGCATAATATCTGTGAAGCAAAGGGAGAAAGTGTCACCTCAGTGGAAGTGGAATGGCTGTCTGCTGAGTTTGAGCAGCCAGATACAAGGGCTACTAGAATAGCTATATTTGGTTGGGGAGTCTTTGAAAGAGCCCTTTAACAGTAAGCTACAATAATTCATTGTGGTGTATTGTGCTCTACTTGTCCCTGCGGTTTGATGACTGGTTAGGAATTGTGTGGATCATGGGGCAGATCTATGAATATAACAGAATCAAGGCACCTATTAATTTTTATGGTGTACATTTAAGATGGTATTTGTTACTGATCCTACGAGTTGTGTCATACTCAACAATAATTAGAGCGTTCTTTCAGTACTGGTAGACATTCTGCAGCATATGTTGGGAATGTATAAAGATTAATTCTTTTCCAAACAATAGAATTTTATTGAGTAACAAAAACAGGGCAAAAAAAAATTCTGTGCAAGTTAAAAGCAAATACATTAAAACTTAATAAATGTATGGAACAGAGCTAAAGAAGGTGAAGGAACATTCATGTCCATTTTAGATACACACACTGATCTGTGAGAACCCTGGTTGCAGTATGTGAAGTCAGCAGAGTCACAACAGAAAGTGAAAGTTAAGATTTAGAACTCCATTCCCTTACTCCCTAAAGTTTTAAATTAGACATGCTTATTGACACTTCTATGACTGTAGGGCAACGGTACTGAATACTGGCACCATTTTCCACAGGCGGTAGAAATTTTAGCTGATACCTTACTCGACGGTGACAAAGGCACAGAGAGCACAGCTGCTACTGGCTTCCAGAAGGCACCTGCGTCCATATGTTGCTAGCCCGTTTACTGCAATGTTGCCCAAAGTTATCTCCAACTGGCATGGGAATGCATCCTACTGAGGAGAGAGAATAAGGTAGCCATCCTTAGAAGCCTAAGGGACAGGATTGCAGAATACCTCCATGAAAGTTTCATCGAGATCTCTCAGGAGGATTCAAGAGACATCCCTGCATACATAAACAGCTCCGCATGGCCCTCCCCTCTAATTGTACAGGGGACTGAGAAGCAGATAAAAACCTCTAACTCTCTTTGTTTTGGTACTACCTCTTCTAGTAGGAGTAAATTAATGAAAAGTTGATAGCTGTGTCCTGTTAAGTTGGGGGTGCCATCAGCATAGGTGCCAACTCTGGGGGTGCTCTGCACCCACCACCAGCCAAGCTCCCCTCCCCTACTTCCTCCTCTCCCTCCGCCTGAGTGCCACATCCCCACTCCTCCGCCTACCTCCCAGCATTTCCCGGCCACTGCCAAACAACTTCGGGGTGGGGTGGGGAGAAGGAGCGGGAACGTGGCATGCTCAGGGGAGGTGGTGGGAAGAGGCGGGGCTGGCGCTGGCATGGTCAACTGGGCAGTTTTGTGCAACCATGGAGGGCTTCTAAGATGTGCTCTCCAACCTGGGCAATCCGGAAAAGGCATTTTAAAAATTCATAGGGTTTTAAAGGGTGGAAGGAAGGGCTTCCTGTATCTGTGACCCCTCAGCAGCAGAGTTCACAATTGTGACAAGACCAGTCAGAGTCAAACATTGTGGGACAGCTGCTGGAGGACTGTTAGGGTCAACATAGGTAATGCAGAGTCTACCCTCGCACTGCATCAACCTCAGTACATCAACCATGGCTCAATGCCGCTTGAAGAGGTGGTGTTACTGTGTTGCCGTAACACGGCACTTACATCAGTGGGAGACAAATTAAGGTATACGCATGTGCAAAACTAGGTTGACGCAAGGCAGCTTATGTCAAACTAACTTTGTAGCACAGACCAGGCCTCAGTCCTAACCCTGTGTAGTAGCTCAGCCAGCCGAGGCATAATCTCGCCATTCCAGAACAATGAATTGCATTTACTCAGAGGTTTGTCATCTTTCATGAGGCTCTCCCCACCACCCTCCTGTCAACATACCAGCAGCTCAGTGGCTCACACTGAATCAGCCTTTCCCCACCTCCCCCTTGTGATTTTCCCCACATTGTTTTCTACACAGCTGCCAGTTGTAAGCTTTGAACTCTTAGACATG